CCAGCTGTATGCTGAGGATTGAAACCGTCACTGTTCGCTTACCGACGGGGACATGTGGCACGGTGCTGTGGATCTCGGTGTCAGATTTCTTGACTTTGATAGCGTGGATCGCTGCTTAGTCTTAGACTTGGACTTGTACTTAAGATATGATCTCAACCTTGGTATGGCATGGTTAAAAATCACGAACCATGGATCTATTGGAGGTCAAAGATCTTGGGCGCTACGCGCACGTCTCCTGATGGAGCTTTGGTGAGTCATTAACCCACCTCTGCTACGACTAAAAACGCTGCACTGGACCGGGACGATCAACGTGCTGGAGCACGGAGTATCCGAGTTGTCGAACACCGAAGGCGTATCGGACAGAAATTTCAAACATGGCTCGCGGGCTGAACGTGGAGTGGCACTTAACTCACTCAGCACTGCTCAATGCCATAATTGGACGTGGTCCGAGGCATCTTGGACAAGGCCTTTCAGATGCGTATGGAGTAGCACGTTAGCCACTGGACGAAGACTGCGGAGCTAGCAGCTGGACGAAGCTAAGCGTGAGTTCCTACTGGTCTCACCGAGACGTAATTCCTTTGTGGGGAGGCAACGGCGACGACGTAAGTATTATTAGTACTACGATACACAAATTCCGATGATGCCTTATCATGTGCGTGTAAAACCACACATTAAATGATTGTGGTCAGTTTTAACCGCTGACCCACAATCCGACTCAACCACTGTATTAGTAGTAGTATTGGTATATCCAGCGGCAGCCGATTCCTTTGACTTTTCATTACACATATGTCGACAACATTATGGGGCAACAACCACCATCGCTTGCTCATAAATTCTTTCCGCTGGGCAAATTACCATGCTCATTAACGATTCATTCGTTTTCAAGTGGCCATTTTCGGACACCACTTGACCTATCGACACACTTTCAGACTGACCACCGGTGGTCACTCCATGCAGCTTTGTATCTTCCCTCACCTGGGGGATAACACAGCATGACATATACCAATGAAGTATGAATCATTACCAGTAGCATACGACTGTCGAGCGCTTGAGCGCTTCTTCTGGTGCATAGTGAAAGTAGGTTCATTATTCTCTAGTGTTTTAATCGTTCTCGATCGCCAATAACTCCAAGGGGCGTGCTTCTTAAGCCAAGGTATACCTAAAATCAGGTCAGACCGTTCGTCTATCTCGAGGGTTGTGAATACTTCCTTGGGATTGAAGGCTTAAACTTCAGTTGAAGATCAGCAATATATTCCTTAGCGGTGAGCACCGCACCAGCGACCAACTTCACCGCGATAGAGGTATTGCTTCTTTTCTAGTGCATCCGAAGGCACTGAATCATTTCCGGCGACACTTTGCTTCCGCGCGTAGTTACGCGACACGTGTCAATCAAGACAATCGATGTGACCAAGAGGGGACCACTTCGACTCGTGTCGTTAACGAAGGACAACAATCCTTGTAGGGCTAATCTCTCGCGAGTGATTCTACCACCACACCCAGAAGAGTTTATCATTTCCCCAGTAGATCGCTTTGCGTCTGCTGGGTACCGGAATTTTCCAAACGCCTCGTGAAAGTGGTACCACATTGCTCGGAAAAACCAATACGACGAGAACCGTATTAAACGGTTTGACTCTCACGTGGACAATCACGTCGAATGTGACCGAATCTTTGACATCCATAACGGCGGATTTGCTGCCAACGGACAGTCACAGCGCTAAGATCTATTGGTTTCAGTTTTTCAGTAGCAGCAGTTTGGCCTGCCAATGGACTCGGCGGGCAACATGGGTGCGGTGGTCTTTGTGGCTCGT